CCCGCGCTGCCCCCTGCCCCAGTCGGCACGGCTCGGCTGCGGCAAGGAGCAGCATCTGCCCATCCGGCCAATGGGGCTCCCTACTCATACCCCGCCCCCCGTTCCATCTGGGGCAGAGTCCCCTGCCTGCCGGAGCTGCCGGTCCTGTTGCCGCTATCTGGAGGCCGTGGATAGGACACCAGGGGGGGGCTGAGGTTGTGACGGGGCTGAGCAGTGGGAATGCTCCTGGCAGTGAGATCCCTTGGGCTGCGGGAGTCTCCCAAGCGGAGGGGGATTCCCAGAGGTGGAGACTAGGGACCAGGCTTGCACCGCCCCCTGCAACGGACTCGAGGGGACCTGCGGCGCTTCTCCGGGCGAGGGATGTAGTGTCCGGTCCATTACCCGAGAAGCAAAGCGTATCGGTTAATGCTGTGGACGACACGCATTCCCCCCGCCAGTGTACTAGGAGCCGGGCGGGCAGGCAGCCCAGCTCAGTTCCAGCTCACACCAGGCCTGGGAGCTGAGACCTCCCCGGATGGGGGCTGCTGCCACCGCACGCTGCTGCCTCTGTATCAGAGGCGGCAGCGCAGGGCGACAGGCAGCTGGTCCGCGAGGGGAGCTTGTTTTTACAGAGGCAGCAGTGCGGAGGGGCAGGAGGCTCCTCGGGAGTGGGGCCAGAGTGCACCGGCTGCTGGCTCCACCCCTGGGACTGTAGAATAGTCGTGTGACCGATAACTCATGAGGGTACTCGACTATCCAATTAACCGATATTTCACACTCCTCCTCCGGGCGTCAGTCCGCCTTGGGGGCGTGGGTCGTGGGGCACCGGGTCGGTGGCTCAGGAAGTCTCGTGTCTGCTCGCACCAGGAGCCGGCCGCGGCTCTGGGGGCAGAGGTGAATGCACGCCGCGTCTCTTTGCCGGGCAGGTCACCTGGTGTACCAGGCCCAGTCTCCGGACGAAGGAGCCCTGGTCACCGCAGCCCGAAACTTCGGCTTCGTGTTTCGGGCTCGCACCCCGGAGACCATCACGGTGGTGGAGATGGGAGAGACGAAGGTCTACGAGCTCCTGGCAATTCTGGACTTCAACAACGTGCGCAAAAGGATGTCCGTCATTGGTGAGCTCCGCGCGGGCAGCTCTCGGGCACCCCCTTTGGCCAGGCACCCTCCTGGCAGGGCCCCTGGAGAGCAGCAGGGTGGCAGTGAGGAGGGACTTGGCTGGGGCGGGGGCG